AAGTTGTTCCTCAGTCAGGCATTAATGAAGTTGTACATCTGTTATGATGTATAAGAATTGAGAGATTCTTTTTGAAAACAGGTTGTTAAGGTTTAGAACGTTTCTTCCTAAATTTGATACTTAAACTAAAAAAGAAGGTAAAAAAAGGACAGACTATTTCAGTGGGTGTCCATTAATTTTTCAGTGTTCCTTCACTGGTTTTTGTATCAGATGTGACTCAGAGCATATCTATTACCTAATCTAAATTACTGACACAATATCCTATTTTACTGATTGCTGTTCCTGTCCTAAGTTTGCAAATCAGTTGATAGCTACAGGGACAGAATCACTGTGGAAGGTACTTATTGTTGAATGAATTCTCCAATGGTGAAATGGTTATGATTAAGCTAAATGTCACAATAAACAGAGCATTATTATTCTAGCAATCCTTATTAGCAATAACATACTTATTAAGCAGCTCTTATTGGGATTCTTCTTCTAAGTTTGATGTTCAGTGGTGTTTCATTTTGTCTGCAATGTGTAATTATTGTCTCTATAGCTTGCTTGCCTTATGTGTGTGTGACCTGTGTGTCAGAGAGCAGATGTCACTGCATCCTTTCAGACATAATTATGGTGTAGTTGTAGGTAGGTCTTGCAGGCAGGAAAAGCAAATCAGTGTGCACTGTACCAAGTAAAGTACTATTCTCTGTTTTCAGTGGGATTAGAGAAGCTCTATCAGATGATAGCTTGGAATTCTCTCTGGCTGATAAATGGTGACAAACAGAAGAATGTGTAGTTTTTCCTCAATAGATTGTCTTGATTTATTAATCCCTTTTCATGTCATTACTTGTAGTGTAATAGATGCCCTGTAAGAAACAGTAGGAGGTGTTTGTTCACGGTTTTCCATAAGCAAAGACTCCCCACTGTTTGTTACAAGTTGTTTTTTTGCAAGCCAAGCAAGTTTTGCTTGACTTTTCACTTTTGGAAATAGTGATTAGGTTAAATTTCTCTTTGGTTTTGTTGACTAATGGGTTTATTTGTGCTGTTGCATGTTCCTTGGTACCTTGCAGATCTCTGGTATTTATTAGTGAAAACCTTTTTTTGGAATCCTGTTTGACAAAGCCTTGCTTTCAATTAGGTGCTCCTACATAGAGCAATGCAGGTTGGAAAGGACCACAGAAGGTCATCTGGTTAAACCTCTTGCACTGAGAAGGTTCACCATTGAATTCACAGCAGGATGCTCAGGGCTTTGTTCAGTCAGGTCTTGAAAACCTCCAAGGATGAAATTCTGCTGCCCCCTGGGGCAACCTGTTCCCAGGTTAACGGATGAGGTTCTTCCTTACATCCATCTGGGAGCTTCCCTGTTCCCATGTACATCCACAGTCTTTTTCCACATCTGTGTCCTGCTGTGATGAGATCAAACATGCACCTAGTATCTGATTAGGTTACAATGAATAGAAGACAGATGATATCTATCCTTTATCTTCACCTTTTTGTACTTTCTATAGACAGATCACTGAAATTTATTTCATTTTATTTAGCCTTCTGCTTTAATGACCAGTGAGCTCCCATTTGAGATGGGGAGTTGTAAAGCATGTTTCTGAAATTCAGGCTTTTGATGCCCAAATTTCAGTGTGTTTATAATGTAGTTAATATTATTATTCACATTTTGCTGAGACATTTCTTTTAATTGACTCGGATTTATTCTAAGAAAAGTGTCAATTTAACATGACCCTTCTAAAAATAATTAAATTCTAATTACAAAGCAGACTATCGACAAGGAAGTATGTACATCCTTCTCCTTATTTAAGCTACTAAACAGGATATTTAACTAAGTAATGAAACATTGTGGATAAGTATACTGCTGTGTCCTGAGGAGATTGTTGGGAAGTGAAAAAAATCTATAGTAATGGGTTTTGCATCTGATTTTTAACCTTATTTTTCAAGTTGTTGTGTTGGGGTTTTTTTTTTTTCTTTTTTTTTTTCTTTTTGGCATGCCAAGATCAGGCTCTGTTTTAACTATGTTTGCCAGAGAATAATTGGAAATTGTAATGTGTCTAATGACAGTGTAATTACTTATGAGTCCTTGCTTATTTTTTTTGGTAATTTTTCATTCTGAATTCACATCTGACATTAAATAATGGCCACTTCTTGCTTTTGGCTTTTGCTGTGTGTCTCTCTATCCTGTTAATGTGAGGATTGGTGAATTTGCAACTGTTCATGAGAGTAGTTCATGGGCAGCAACCAGAAATGTATGAAAAGTACTAAAGAGATGAGTTCTGTGCAGTAG